GGTCCGGGTGGGGTAATTGGACCGGGCAACAAAGAACACAATATTACATTTTTTTTTTCCAAGTATTGCTAAATCTTAAACCCAACAAGTTTACTCACCAAACACCAATATTCATATTAACCTCGATGAAAAACCAAGAATGCAAGTAACCAGAAATAGTCGCATCTTGTTTACAGGAATAGCAACTCACCAGTCACCAATCAGGAGGCAAAACAAAAATGTACCTACACTAAAAACCGACTTTTCTCATCTTCTATCCCTGCAAAAGAAACTGCTCAATGAGGTTTTGGTTTATGTCCATCGACCGCGAAATTTCGTGTGGCTGAAGGAAGTGCTAAACGAAGTCCCTCGAGTTCAGGTTTAGCAATTATTTGACAACCCAGACGAGACCTTCAGGAAAAAAATAAAATAAAATAAAAACCGTATTGATTAATCGAGAAGCCAAAAGCAAAATTATTGATCATGATCGGCTTAAGTCGAGGGAAGGAGGAGCCTACGTTTCAGTGAGGCCAAATGCAAGGTCTAACATGTCATTTTCTTCATCAGTTGGATCGGGTAATCTGTTGTACTGCTCCATGTCCTGAGAAAAAAAACATAACATAATATTCAGCTGGAAAGGAAAAAAAAAAAGTGATATCCCCCACTTATAGTTCCTTTTGGAAATAGTTTCTCTTTTAACAATTGTCCTCTAATGGAGATGTTTTCATAATTTCAGGGGGTACGTTTTTGTCCTTCGATTTGGGCTAAACCTTAGGGTTGATTTTATAGTAAACTCAGTGAATCTTTGTTACGAAGTTAGCCTAATTACTTACCATCACAATAACATGACAAGTGGAACAAGCAAGTGACCCTTCACATGCCCCTGCAATTTGAAAAAAAAATAAAAAAATACTAACAGGCTTGAGAATGCTCGGTAGGCTTTAATGAATGAAGACTTTAAATACATTTTCTTATTAACTTGATAAATGAAAATCTTCATTTAAATGATAATAGCACTTCAACAGTTCAACTAATACCTGAAAACAATTGTCCTAGCAGATACTAAGGAGCCTTAGCATGGACCGGAAAAAGAAAAAGGGGAAAGGGTAAAAATGGAAGCTTACCTTCAAGTTCTATGTCATTCTCATGTGCAGCTTCTAGCATCGACATTCCAACTGGAACCTTAATATGTGTCTCTTCCCCATCTTTGTCAACAAATGCCACTTTTATTCTGTAAAGTCGAAATAATGAGCAGATATATAAAATTAAGATAGCTGACTAAATCCCGTGCCACCTGATATACCTTCGACAAATCAACCAAATCAGGGTTCAACATAACTACTTGAAATAAAGAAAAAAGCAAGAAAATGCGGAGTTTAAAGGACTTCTTCTTTTATATCGAACATTAGTGGACAAATGGAAGCAAGACTCAGAAGCTCAAGGGACTTACTTTTCATTTGTTTCATTTTCGTCATCAGAGTCCACTTTAGCTGCTGCACAGCTATACAATTTATGTCTCTGAATGTACATACATAGAGAAATGGGAAAATCGGTTTTAAGTTTAAAGCTCGAGCACATAGAAAGAAAATAAAACGGGACCATGTAGTATTCTCACAATTTCGATCACCAAACCACAATGATAGAAAAACCTTAACAGCACAAACATCACTACTACATCTCTCATACCATTTGTGTGTGTGTTCTCAGAGTGAACTTGAAATATTAACTGTGTACTGCCAGTCCTTTACTACTACACATTTTTTTATCTATAAACCTTACCTAGCCTGAGTTTTAACAATCCCCAAAAAAATCGTTAGAAAGAAGTGTAAAACGCTTCATGCGCGCCCATAATTTTTTTCCATTTCCTTGATGAAGACAAAGTTCACCACAACCAACGCACAAGTCCAACAAGAAAAAAAAAATATATATATATATATATATAAACTCAATTTTTACCCCCACAACAATTGCTATGTTGAATGTAAAAAATGTACTAACCAGGACCGGAAGATACTGATTATGTCCCACGGGGGAATATGAATACCTTTCTGTAAGACTTGGAGCTGCAATAAAGAAATATACGAAAAAAGAGAAATTAATGCAAAAGTGCAGGAACAAAACCCCGAAGCAAAGAGATGATTGAACTGCATCTTTTTTCAATCATTGTCAGGGACAACTATACTTCTCACAGACAATGCTGTAATCAAAGGCAAAACATATTCAGAAAATTTACGATCAAGACAACACCAAATATAGAGGAGAACTTACATGTGCCTTCACTTTAAACACTAAACTACATCTTCAGATTATGAAAGTAAGCAGCAATACATATTAGTTTCAGCTGTCAAAATACAATAAATAGTAAAGTAGACTTGTAAACAGAGTCATGGAACAGACCTTTTACCAAAATATTGGTTGCATGCGCTCCTAACCGATAAAGCCTGGAAATGAACATAATCGTTCAACCTGAGAAGCCCCAAAAACCCAAGAAAAAGGAAAATAATTAATGAGCACCTCGACGAGCAAACTACACGTATTACAACTCCATTAACACAACATTGCTTTTCAAACCAGGCTTGCTTGATTGTTTAATTTTTAAACTCAGCTTCCCATGACTCAAAGTCCACTCAACTAAGAAAAATGATGCACATGCTATGAAATAAACCCTAGTTGCATAGACGGTACACAACGAGCACATATATAACAGCAAATTCACCTCAGCAGGAGACTTTTTTTGCAAAAATTTCATCAACCCTTGGCCAAAAACACATAACATAGTAAAATTAAATCATAATTTTGTCATTTTGATTCTTTTCATTTTAAGGAAAAAAAAAAGTATTTTGAAGAAATACGTTGGATTTTGACATGGAAACAAAAAGTTCAACATTCAGAGTCACATGGGCTTTGCTCAAAATCCAACCTTTGGACAGATGAATTTGCCTAACATACCCAGAAAAGCTCAATCGACTGTTAAAACCATATCGTCTCACAGTGAAATTACGAAATTCAAACATATTTACACTAAGATCAAAAACAAAATAATTAAAAAAAGGAAAGAAAAAACGAAACATTACGTAATTAATTTCGGTTTGTGTTCAAGAATAAAATTACCTGGACTAGCCGCCGGAATCCAAAAAACGCGGTGGTAAGTCGGAGCAGATGGCGGCGTCGACTCCACGCAGAAATGAATCTCAACGAGCCTAATAAGCCGAGTGGTCGGGTGAGCTGAGGAAGGTAATCCAAAACGGCGTCGCTTGAGCTTTATAACATTAGAAAGGAGAAGTAGCAGTCGATTCAGAGGAACTATATGGGCCAATTTGTGCTCCAAACATAATGGGCTCAATCTAAAATTTGGCTGGGGCCCAAAGTCAGGTGCAAACACATTAAGCCTATGTTTGGTAGCAATAGCTTATGGGAAAAATACATACATAACCCCTAGACTAGAAATATCTACATAAATACTATTAGAAGGAAACATAATCAAAAGAGGA